TGCAGGAGGATCCCTTTGTTGCACACGAAAACCAATCATGTCCCAGATATGCTCCAAAGGGTTGATATCGGGGCTCATTCAGTCGTGAGATATGTTAGGGGATGCTTAAAAATAAGTTCTTTGCGTATAAATAATTTGAACTACTTCGACTGATCTTTGCGGAATCTTTGTGGTTTCAGTAAAAACTCCAGATGAGGTGTTCACAGAAATGAAATCAAAGACGGACAATGAGAGGAGGCTGTACGCGCCATGTTTTTCTCAGAAACAGGTGGACTTCGTTAAGCAAGCTCCTATCAAAGTGAAGAATCTGATACGGCTTGTGAAATACTGGGCAAAGGTAACTACTTCAACTTTGGTAGCCTAACATTTGGATCCCTTTAAACCGTTTTGGTATGACATTTTTGATTGTATATATACTGTTAAAACAAATCTGTAATTTTCTGGGTCATGTTTTATAAAAACGTCTATGGGCGACAGTAAGAGACATGGAGTCTTGTGCGTGGAGTAGTTCTTACTGAGGTCTTTTTCAAGTTTTTGAACGACTTACCTTGGAGTGGCCTAATGGTTAAGTCTATACTGCATCTATTCCTCGTCACGCACAAGACCCGGGTTCGATTCTCCACATGGGTACAATGTGTGAAGCCTATTTCTGGTGTCTCTCGCCGTGATATTGCTGAAATATTGCTAAAAGCGGCGTAAAACTAAAGTCACTCACTCACTCATGACAGGTAGAAGTCAACAGAGAAGTCAAAGCTGTGACGTCATTCTTCCTGGAACTAGTTGTAATCTCCCACTGGAAGAAGAACGGCTCCCCATTCGACTTCGTCACCCAGGATTGGTTCCGAGAGGTCATGACCCAACTGACTGATCTGACGTCACTGCGGATACTGTGGCCCGACCAATACGACGCAGCTTCGTTCTATGTATTTCCGTACGTTGCACTTCTGATCCACATTTTGATTCACCTAGTTAGGTGTGCAACTTCTCGTTCCGATATGATCATGAAAATCGAGTGTGTGCCAAAGTATGTTGATTTAAATGCTGAATCATCTTACCAGGTTTCAAAATACTCGATGCGACAAAACAAACAATACCGTGTAAATAATAGGTAAATAAATCGACATTTCAGGCGTGTGCATTCGTAAGTTCGTTTGTTATAAAAATTAAGAAATTCTGTTTCTATCCAACGCATATATATTGTAGCGCACCCTCACACGGTCAATCATCAATATATTGACCATTGTTGCGCAGAAGAGATAAAGTAGTCTCCCTTTAACTGCCCTTCATCGAGATCTGAAACTGTTTTTAAACATTTGTTCTATTGATTATTGTAGACAGTGATGGTTCCTTGCATATACATACCGATTAGAAATAGTCATGTGTTGTAGCTTTCTGCTTTACGCAATAACCTGGTGTAAACACTAATTTGCCATGACCCGTTCATATGATTTTAATCACTGGTGTGCCTTCTACTCCCATACTCCCAATGGGATCTGTGTTGGTTAAATATCCTCTGGTTTGAAATGTCATGCAATTTATGTTTCCAGAAGGAATCCGGTCGTACTGGATCCCACCAACCCTTACATCAACGTAGCACCGCGATCGAAGCATCACTCCCTGGTGATGACGTGTGCCCAGAACGTGTTGTACAGGATGCAGGCGTGGCAGAACTACAGAACAGGGCGTTATGCTGACAATTAGAACACTCTGAGTAGCAAGATTTGTTGCACTGATACATGGGAGTGCTTACCCAGTGTAACAGATCAAGACGAATGGCACTGACAAGGCAGATTATCCAAATCTGCACATTATTGTTGAAACCCAAGTCTATCACAACACTTCTTTGTTGTTTGGTTTGTTGTTTAGCGATGCGCACATAAAATATTCCAGTTTTAAGAGGATGACCTGTAAAAAATCGCGTCTGTACCACATATCCGGTGTCTTACAGGAAGGTCAACGATCTACACAAGCTATAGGACGGAATGAAGCTACAAAATCAGGGTACCTGATCGCGCGTTCCCGTTGCTCTCAGGCCGAGATCCTATGCAGCAATTTAACATGGATCCCTCAGACACAATTACTATCTCCGAGCCGACTCTTGTCGAGCGCCAGAAGGAGTAACATTAAGAACCGTATTTTAAGGCCGGGGTTCGAACCACGTACTAACCTTCCACCCGTGACGATCCGGGTTGGAACTGGTCTTCAGCAACTCATGCTTGTCGAAAGAGGCGACTAACAGGATCGGTGGTCAGGCTCGCTGACTTGGTTGACACATGTCATCGTAATCCCATTTGCGTAGATCAATGCTCATGCTGTTGATCACTAGATTGTCTGGTCCAGACTCGATTATTTATAGTCCGCCGCCATATAGCTGGAATATTGCTGAGTGTGTCGTAAAACTAAACTCACTCACTCACTCAAATAAAGCCAACCCACCTTGACAACCATTGAAGCTCCGAGTGACGTGTGATGTTGCAGGAAGTACATGACACGTTCAACAACACGGTCACACTGTTGGCGGAGCTCGCTGTATAGTGTCCTGAATGAACTGCTGCAGGGTCTGTCCACTCCCCTCGGCCATATTGCTGGAATGTTGCTGAATGCGGCATAAAACAACAAACAAAACCAAAACACCAATCTTCCGGTCTGCGGGTATTAACTCAAAAACACGGTTAAGTTGGGTATCATAAACAAACATTGTTGATTGGTCGTTCAGATCGTAGAACGAGACAGCAGGCCCCTTGGCATGCCTACTGGCTAACACAAAAAGATGGCTTATGGCAACACTTGGCAAGATGTTCGATGGTAAACCTAGAATATATCGATATCCCGAATTTCCCATAGAATCAATTAAAAAAGCTAATTAAAGAAATTAAGAATGACCTTTGGAAAGATGTTTTAACTATTTATTTTAAGTTGCAAACCTTTGAGATTAGGAATATTGACGAATTCAAAAATGTCCCTTTCATATAATGATTTTAAATCATATTAAATGGTATCAGTATGGAATTAGATACAGTCGGGACCTAATGACTGATTCAGGACACTTAAAAGAATTCAATGTCTTGAAATACGACTTCACATTAAATGATAATTTCATTTCTTATTTCAGATTTATACGTTTCATGCCCAACTCATGGATTAAATTATCAAAAGAAAGCCTGGTTAACAGAACAACTTGAAATATTAATTGTAAGATTCACAGGGACAATATTTCATCACTAGATTGTAAACTATCTATAAACTGATTCGTAATGATGAGGGTATCTATTCTCTCCAATATCTTACTTCTAAATGGAACTCAAAGTTGGATGCACACACATCAGAAAATTGCCTTTCCCAATGTTTTCATACAATACGAAATTGTGTGGAGGACAGCAAGACACGGAATTTCCAACATAAACTCGGCCATCATATCATACCATTTCTTTACAAAATAGGATTGATAGAGGATAACATTTGTAACATAACATTTTGCCAATCAGAAAGTGACACATTAGAAGATTTATTGTTTCCTGTCGAAAATTTCAAATTATGAAAAATGAGTTCAAAATTTGGTATGAGAGTAGAACCTATTTAAAATTAGACTTAAATATACTCATGGAAACGAATAAGGGGACACGTGAAAGTACAAGTGTTCCTTTATTCTTTTCCAGGTTTCTTCACAAGGTATGTATTGCACTGTGAGTGAAATTCTGGAAATAAATAAAGGAACACTTGTACTTTGATGTGTTCCCTTAATAGTTTCTATGAGTATATGAATAATTTCCTTCTTGGCGAACCAAAGATGAATATCCGAAGGGCTTGAAAATCACCCTTTTATAATAACCAAGATTGTTATTACAACAACACTATACATATTCCAAAATTTACCAAAAATTACTCTATTAAAATATAATTACAACATAGAAAATGTCATTTCAGGAGACAATACCAAATTCGCCCCCGTCCACCTTACAATTATTTGGCAAATACTTACTATCTCTTCTCCACTTTCTTACTTTTCTATATCCCTATTCCTGTTTCTTTGTGCTTTATTCATACAACCATTTACCTTATGTCGTCTCTTATTTATCTCGAAGCTTGAATATATGTATTTTCTGTATTATCCAGCTGTATGAATGTTGTATTATGTGCTATCGTAATACAAAATATAAAGAATTACTGCTTTTATTCCTCACCCAGATCCATTATGTCAAGTTCATTATTGTCCAGATATGTTCTTATTATGACGAATCGGATGTCACTTGCTTTAAACAGGAAAGACAAAAACGGTTTGTCCTATAGACATTTCGTTCATGTATCTACAAATAATGTACCCTGATTGCATAGATTGATGCTCATGACATTGATTATTAGACTGTCTGGTCCGGACTGGATTATTGACAGATCTCCACCATATAACTGGTATATTGCAGAGTGGAAGGTTACACAACATATACTCATGCCAATAATGGTTGTCACCCCCCACCCCCACCCCCCTCTCCAATTAGGAAAATTGAAGGGGGTGACAACCATTATTGGCATGAGTATACTATGGAATCCTAGAAGAGACATTGTCGCGTTCTCGCATTGTCGCCCTCTCAAAAAGAAGCAAAATGAACGGAAGCGCGACAATGCGACACATTCATCATGTCGCATTGTCGCGCATTTTTAGGCTTTCGTATACATCTAAGATCGGGCGACAGTAAGACAATGACAAAGTTTGAACTTGAAAATTTTCCCGATGTCGCATTGTCGCCCTTGGGATGAATAGAAAAATATTATTCAAAACGCGACAATACGACAAATGGCCGAAATGTCGCACTGTCGCAAGGTCGCATTGTCGCGCTTTGGTTAATTTTGCCTCTTTTTGGCTTGTTTTTGAGAGGGCGACAACCTGACAATGTCCCTTCTCGAATTCCATAACATACAGACGTAATGTGCAAGCATTTTCTGAGACAATGCCATGACATTAAATTCATCTCGATAACGAAATGATAACAGAAATTATTCACATATTGGTTACTTACAATTTCTTTATCTCACAGATCTTTACACACAGAGACACATGTCTTTCATTCAGATTCAGATACCAATGTCCGTGATAGCAATAGGTTAGGTATTACGCTATAAAGATCCCTGGGAATTGTATATCTGGTAAATATCATGAAAACATCATTGCATCATATATTATTGCGCACATTCAATACCAGCGAATGTTAACATCTTGGTCTTTATTTAGGAGGGATACTGCCTTTGAAATTAACATAGTGAGCTACAGAACATGGCCGTGGACACGTATTAAACTTTATCGTGGACTCCGAATTAAATTCACCGGATGGACTCGGGGGGCACCATAATGAAAGCTTAGGCAGATCATCGGAAACAGCGTCTTCAAATTCTGACGCAAAGATATTTGGCACGGTTAAGCTTCTGCTCCTCCTTCCGTCCCCCGGGGGTGGCCGACACCCCGGCGATCCGGTCGACCTTCCCCCCATACGGACGTATAGGTCAAAGTCGGGTACCACCTTGACTGCACCATCATGTTTCGTCTCCAGCTCGTCGTGAATATTGTGTGAAGACTGGTCTGGCTTCCACCATCCCCATTTGAACAGGTCATCAGTGGGTCTGCCCGTTTTGAGGTCTGAGGAACTTAGAGCAAGTCCTCGTGGATGGCCGACCCTCAGACTTGTATCAGGTTCCATGTAAACGCTCCTTGGTTTATCTTGAGTCGCGTTAAAAGCATTGAAATATTTTAGGTGAATATTATCTATCTCTTCTGTTTCATCATCAACATCTTCTACTGCACTGTTCTGGTAAATGCTGAAAGGACGCTCTTCCTCTCTATTTAAAGTGTCCCTATAGTTTCGGGACGTTGGAGGTGTATTGCTGGGATGCTGATTTGTAAATATGTGTGGCTTTGTAAGCACCCCTTCAGTAAAAGTCTTACTTTTTCTGAGTGCCCGAAGAGGCTTCCCCATGGGTACGTAGGTCGCACAGACATCTTCCTCAGAGTCGTCCGTATGATTTCCTGAATCCTTAGTGTTGACTTCGGTCCTAACAGTGACTTTGTCCACATTCAGATCAGGATCAGCTGCGGCGTGTTCAATGGTAACTGCAGGTACAGCTTCAGAAGCTTCTATCTGAGCTTGCTCGACTTCTTTAGGTGTTACCGGACTACCAGATGGCACCGAAGGAGGCGCCTCGATTTCAAGTGTTACCTTTAGTGTGTTTGGGGGTGATTTCACTTCAACTGGCATCGGTCCAGATATAGACAACCTTTTTCCAGACTTGGAGTGGTGATTGGATGGGAGGTCAACAGGATTAACATTAACATAGTCATCCCGTTTTGGTTTTCTGTTTGAACGTTTACGTCTCCTGAACACCCTCCGCAGTCTGAAATAACCATGGAAACGCAGTGTTATCATTGTTGTGTTCATGGCCATGTTCTCGTTTTCAATTTCAAAAGGGGTTTGGTGGAACATACATGGCTAACACGTGGTTCAGGTTAGTGGGTAAAGGGTCGCTAATGGCGATGCCCCATGTAGAGCAGTGTAGATTCAGGTTAGTGTGTAAAGGGTCCCTAATAGAGAGGTCCCATGAACAGCAGTGTAGATTCAGGTTAGTGTGTAAAGGATCGCTAATGGCGATGCCCCATGTAGAGCAGTGTAGATTCATGTTAGTGGGTAAAGGGTCTCTAATAGAGAGGTCCCATGAACAGCAGTGTAGATTCAGGTTAGTGTGTAAAGGATCGCTAATGGCGATGCCCCATGTAGAGCAGTGTAGATTCATGTTAGTGAGTAAAGGGTCCCTAATAGAGAGGTCCCATGAACAGCAGTGTAGATTCAGGTTAGTGTGTAAAGGATCGCCAATGGCGATGCCCCATGTAGAGCAGTGTAGATTCATGTTAGTGGGTAAAGGGTCTCTAATAGAGAGGTCCCATGAACAGCAGTGTAGATTCAGGTTAGTGTGTAAAGGATCGCTAATGGCGATGCCCCATGTAGAGCAGTGTAGATTCATGTTAGTGAGTAAAGGGTCCCTAATAGAGAGGTCCCATGAACAGCAGTGTAGATTCAGGTTAGTGTGTAAAGGATCGCCAATGGCGATGCCCCATGTAGAGCAGTGTAGATTCATGCTAGTGGGTAAAGGGTCCCTAATAGAGAGGTCCCATGAACAGCAGTGTAGATTCAGCTTAGTGTGTAAAGGATCGCTAATGGCGATGCCCCATGTAGAGCAGTGTAGATTCATGTTAGTGGGTAAAGGGTCTCTAATAGAGAGGTCCCATGAACAGCAGTGTAGATTCAGGTTAGTGTGTAAAGGATCGCTAATGGCGATGCCCCATGTAGAGCAGTGTAGATTCAGGTTAGTGAGTAAAGGGTCCCTAATAGAGAGGTCCCATGAACAGCAGTGTAGATTCAGGTTAGTGTGTAAAGGATCGCCAATGGCGATGCCCCATGTAGAGCAGTGTAGATTCATGCTAGTGGGTAAAGGGTCCCTAATAGAGAGGTCCCATGAACAGCAGTGTAGATTCAGCTTAGTGTGTAAAGGATCGCTAATGGCGATGCCCCATGTAGAGCAGTGTAGATTCATGTTAGTGGGTAAAGGATCGCTAATTGAGATGTCCCATGAACAGGGGTGTAGATGCAGGTTAGTGAGTAAAGGATTGCTAATGGCGATGCCCCATGTAGAGCAGTGTAGATTCATGTTAGTGGGTAAAGGGTCCCTAATAGAGAGGTCCCATGAACAGCAGTGTAGATTCAGGTTAGTGTGTAAAGGATCGCTAATGGCGATGCCCCATGTAGAGCAGTGTAGATTCATGTTAGTGGGTATAGGGTCCCTAATAGAGAGGTCCCATGAACAGCAGTGTTGATTCAGGTAGGTGGGTTAAGGATTGCTAATGGCGATGCCCCATGTAGATCAGTGTAGATTCATGTTAGTGGGTAAAGGGTCCCTAATAGAGAGGTCCCATGAACAGCAGTGTAGATTCAGGTTAGTGAAGAAAGGATCGCTAATGGAGATGTCCCATGAACAGGGGTGTAGATTCATGTTAGTGAGTAAAGTGTCCCTAATAGAGAGGTCCCGTGAACAGCAGTGTAGATTCAGGTAAGTGTGTAAAGGATTGCTAATGGCGATGCCCCATGTAGAGCAGTGTAGATTCAGGTTAGTGAGTTAAGGGTCCCTAATAGAGAGGTCCCATGAACAGCAGTGTAGATTCAGGTTAGTGTGTAAAGGATCGCTAATGGCGATGCCCCATGTAGAAACAGTGTAGATTCAGGTTAGTGTGTAAAGGGTCCCTAATAGAGAGGTCCCATGAACAGCAGTGTAGATTCAGGTTAGTGTGTAAAGGATCGCTAATGGCGATGCCCCATGTAGAGCAGTGTAGATTCATGTTAGTGGGTAAAGGGTCCCTAATAGAGAGGTCCCATGAACAGCAGTGTAGATTCAGGTAAGTGTGTAAAGGATTGCTAATGGCGATGCCCCATGAAAAGCAGTGTAGATTCATGTTAGTGGGTAAAGGGTCCCTAATAGAGAGGTCCCATGAACAGCAGTGTAGATTCAGGTTAGTGTGTAAAGGATTGCTAATGGCGATGCCCCATGTAGAGCAGTGTAGATTCAGGTTAGTGGGTAAAGGGTCCCTAATAGAGAGGTCCCATGAACAGCAGTGTAGATTCAGCTTAGTGTGTAAAGGATCGCTAATGGCGATGCCCCATGTAGAGCAGTGTAGATTCATGTTAGTGGGTAAAGGGTCCCTAATAGAGAGGTCCCATGAACAGCAGTGTAGATTCAGGTTAGTGTGTAAAGGATCGCTAATGGCGATGCCCCATGTAGAGCAGTGAAGATTCATGTTAGTGGGTATAGTGTCCCTAATAGAGAGGTCCCATGAACAGCAGTGTAGATTCAGGAAGGTGTGTTAAGGATTGCTAATGGCGATGCCCCATGTAGTTCAGTGTAGATTCATGTTAGTGGGTAAAGGGTCCCTAATAGAGAGGTCCCATGAACAGCAGTGTAGATTCAGGTTAGTGTGTAAAGGATCGCTAATGGAGATGTCCCATGAACAGGGGTGTAGATTCATGTTAGTGAGTAAAGTGTCCCTAATAGAGAGGTCCCGTGAACAGCAGTGTAGATTCAGGTTAGTGTGTAAAGGATCGCTAATGGCGATGCCCCATGTAGAGCAGTGTAGATTCATGTTAGTGGGTATAGGGTCCCTAATAGAGAGGTCCCATGAACAGCAGTGTTGATTCAGGTAGGTGGGTTAAGGATTGCTAATGGCGATGCCCCATGTAGATCAGTGTAGATTCATGTTAGTGGGTAAAGGGTCCCTAATAGAGAGGTCCCATGAACAGCAGTGTAGATTCAGGTTAGTGAAGAAAGGATCGCTAATGGAGATGTCCCATGAACAGGGGTGTAGATTCATGTTAGTGAGTAAAGTGTCCCTAATAGAGAGGTCCCGTGAACAGCAGTGTAGATTCAGGTAAGTGTGTAAAGGATTGCTAATGGCGATGCCCCATGTAGAGCAGTGTAGATTCAGGTTAGTGAGTTAAGGGTCCCTAATAGAGAGGTCCCATGAACAGCAGTGTAGATTCAGGTTAGTGGGTAAAGGGTCGCTAATGGCGATGCCCCATGTAGAGCAGTGTAGATTCAGGTTAGTGTGTAAAGGGTCCCTAATAGAGAGGTCCCATGAACAGCAGTGTAGATTCAGGTTAGTGTGTAAAGGATCGCTAATGGCGATGCCCCATGTAGAGCAGTGTAGATTCATGTTAGTGAGTAAAGGGTCCTAATAGAGAGGTCCCATGAACAGCAGTGTAGATTCAGGTTAGTGTGTAAAGGATCGCTAATGGCGATGCCCCATGTAGAGCAGTGTAGATTCATGTTAGTGGGTAAAGGGTCCCTAATAGAGAGGTCCCATGAACAGCAGTGTAGATTCAGGTTAGTGTGTAAAGGATCGCTAATGGCGATGCCCCATGTAGAGCAGTGTAGATTCATGTTAGTGGGTAAAGGATCGCTAATTGAGATGTCCCATGAACAGGGGTGTAGATTCATGTTAGTGAGTAAAGGATCGCTAATGGCGATGCCCCATGTAGAGCAGTGTAGATTCATGTTAGTGGGTAAAGGGTCCCTAATAGAGAGGTCCCATGAACAGCAGTGTAGATTCAGGTTAGTGTGTAAAGGATCGCTAATGGCGATGCCCCATGTAGAGCAGTGTAGATTCATGTTAGTGGGTATAGGGTCCCTAATAGAGAGGTCCCATGAACAGCAGTGTTGATTCAGGTAGGTGGGTTAAGGATTGCTAATGGCGATGCCCCATGTAGATCAGTGTAGATTCATGTTAGTGGGTAAAGGGTCCCTAATAGAGAGGTCCCATGAACAGCAGTGTAGATTCAGGTTAGTGAAGAAAGGATCGCTAATGGAGATGTCCCATGAACAGGGGTGTAG